CCCCGCCCGCGCCAGCAGCACCCAAGCGGCCAGGCAGCAGGGCGACGAGAAAAAGGGGCGAAAAAATGAAATCACACCCTCTCTTTCTTTGTCACTCTTCGTGAAAATAAAGAAAAGAAAAAAGACTTAATCCGAGCAGCAAGCGAGAAAGAAGAAGAAAGACTAGAGGTGTGCAGCGCACCCCCCTTCCCCTTTCCCGATTAATTCCTCTACTTTGGGACACCGACAATGATTGGCCGTCCCGATCGCATCAGTTTGCTCCACGGCGTTTGGCTCCCAATGAGGGGAAGGGGGAGAAAGGGGACCAGCGCGAGCGCTGCAAAAATTAAAACTTTTCACCTCCAACTCCGTTTTTCCCTCCATCCCTCCCTCCTCCCCCACCTCTCTCTCTGATTCCCCGTGGCCTCGATGGTGTTATCTAACGTTATAACCCCACCCCAGCTGCCCTCGAAAAATCACGATAAAACAAGACCAAAAAACATTGGTGCAGCTCTAATTTCAAGTAGATTCATCTTTCAACAAGTTTCGGGGGGTAATGAATTATTTAATCCTTCTATGCACTTCTAATTTGTGGAGAGTTTCATTTAGACTAAAAATTAGAGGATATTTTTTAATCTTCAACAAACAGGCGCAAAGACCACAATCGAAGTAAAGAATAAAATTCTGGGATGGGGCCTATTACAGGCCCTGCACAAGCAAAGTAGTACGGAAATCGAATCTACTTTAATTTTAGCGCGCGTTCACCGACTAATCAGTCCAGGGCAAAATCGGCGAAATTCCCGCCCTTCTGGCCCCAGGGGTCAGGATGGACTAGGACAGATATGGTTCAATGCAAGCCTACGGCGCGGTCCACCCCCGCCCGCCGCTCCCCGACGCACCCCTCCACTCAGAGAAGATGAGACAGAGGAAGGAAAGGATTTCAACTTTGGTCTCAAGGTTTCCGATAAAGAACAACGGGCGAGTTGGCAGTAGGGCATCCGCGCCCTGGGGCGACCAAGGGTGGGGCGGGGGCTGAGGGGGCGTGGCAGAGCCGGCAGAGCGACCCTGCAGGGCGCGGCGTCTAAGTTTCAGGTGAAGGGGTGAGGGGAGAGAGAGAGTGAAAGCGCAGGGAAACCATCTTCCACGAGGATGCCAGCGGCCCGCGGCCAAAATCATCTTGGGATTATTGCGTGGCCCTTCCTCCCGGCCCCTCACCCCCTTTACCCCGACAGGCCATTCGGCTTCTCGCCGACAATGACACGCTCCTACCGCCTGCTATAAAAGAGGGACGACTTTCCCCGACGTCGCCGCCAACCACAGCACGCCGTCAGCGTCACCCACACGTCCAGGATGCCGTGCCTCGTGTCGCGTCCGCTGGCGACGCTGCTCCGGACCACTACGCGCCGCCACGCGTCCAACCTGCCCGTGCCCAAGGAGAGGCCGGACGCACTGTGCGCCCTACCGACGGCGTCCTGCAGCCTAGAGGCCCACGCCCATCGAGCCGACCCGGAGCCCAAGCGGTAAGATCACGCCATGCGGCACGGGTGTTCTGAAGCACCAGCACCAGCCAGCTGCACTCGCCGGTTCCAGGTTCTGCCTCGAGCGGACGCAGCTCCCCGAGGCGGACCCCGAGGTCGTGGTGCTCGGCGCGGGGCTGGCCGGACTGAGCGCGGCGGCGCACCTGGTGCAGCAGGGTGTCGGCAAGGTGCGCAGGTCGACGACGTGGTGACGGCGAAGGTAAATGAAAAGGCCCTGTCTCCGAAGCCAACCGCATCTGCAGCAGCGGCCTACAGGTCACCGTGCTGGAAGCCCGCGACCGGCCCGGTGGCCGCATCCAGTCCTCGTTCCTCGGGGACGCCGTCATCGAGCTCGGGGCGCCCTGGAGGACCTACAGGCACGTGGCCGACAACCAGGTGGTCCGACGCGCCGTGCTCGATGGCTTCCTGCCCGGCACCTTCACTGCGCGGCCCGCGGCCGCCGTGACTTCTCCACTGAGGGCGGGCGCCGGCCTTTACCCGTGTAATCCTATGCGGGCCGACGCCGCCCGGACCCTGTTCGTGGACGAGAAGGGCATGCCGGTGGCCAGCGCGGTGGCGATGCGCGCCTACGACCTGGCCAGGGTCATCGAAGAGGACGCGCTGGCCCTGTCGAGCTCCGGGTGAGCAGCGGTGGTGGGCCGCATCGTCGACACGGCGACCTCGAAAGTAGCTCCAACTTAAGCCCGACCGCACTGTTAGGCAGGCGGACGAACTTGTTGGACACCGCGCACGCCTGGAGCTGCAGAGGGTCTCCGCCGAGCACCGCGACGTCACGGCCAGGATCATCGTGGGGCTGCTGAGCGCGCGCCGCCTGCGGTCGCCGCGCGACAGGAGCTTCCTCGTGCACGACCACGTGTGCGCCCACGTGGAGCTCCCGGGCGCGGACTTCCGGGTGCCCCTTGGCCACGTGGCCACCCTGGAGCCGCTGCTGCGGACACTGGGCCCCGCGCGCGTGCGCTACAACAAGACCGTACAGACGGTGCGCTGGGGGCTGGTGCCCGGACAGAAGGCCCTCGTCACCTGCGAGGACGGCGAGGAGCACCGCGCCGACCACATCGTCGTGGCCCTGCCCCTGGGCGTCCTCAAGCACACGCACTCCGCCATGTTCCTGCCCGGCCTGCCTTGCAACAAGGTAATACCGCCAACAACTCATCAGCAAAATGTCAAAATGTTTCGCATGGGACAAAATGCTCCAGTCTGGCATACCTTCCCACAGGTGAGCGCGCTTGAGAAGCTCGAGGTGCAGGCATACAACCGCGTGTTCCTGGACTACGAGAAGCCCTTCTGGACGTGGCTGGAGGGCGTGCGACTGGAGCGGACCCCACCAGAGGGCGCTGCAGGCGCGGCGGGCCAGGACCAGTGGCTGCGTGGTGTCACCCGCCTGCGCGCCGTGCAGGGCTCCAGCCACGTCCTCAAGCTGGACGTGCAGGGCGAATCGGCCCTCGCCTTCGAGCACCTCAGCGACGCGCAGGTCGTCGAGGATGTCACCCGCTACCTGCGCCAGTGCTCCGGCCAGCACGACTTCCCCTACCCGACGCACATGGTGCGGTCCAGGTGGAGCTGCGACCCCCTGGCGTGCGGCGCCACCACGCAGTACCCGCGCGGCGAGGACGGCACGCAGCTCTCGCGCACGCTGGCCGAGCCTGTGCACGGCGTCATCTTCTTCGCCGGGGAGGCGACTAACCACAGGTGCGGTGCTCACATGCCCGATGTGCAAGGTGTGTACTTCACTCAAAACATTCAGTGTACACTCTCCACTTTTATTTCATTTTTTAATCATGGAGAAATCAATTCTCCAAAGTCAGATTCAATGAGA